ACGAACGGGACGAGATTGCGCCCGAGCGCTTCAGACAGACAGGCCAATTGGAACGACTTTATTTATGCGTCGACGCTGCTGCGATATCCGATAACGGAACCACGGTCCCACGAGGAGGGTTTAATTAACAATGAGCGCAAGTTTCGCTGTACACACTTCGGGCCTCCGCTGCATCGCTTCTTCGGCTCCGCAGCAACTGAAGTAGCGTTCTTCCTTCAAAGGATCTGCCACTGGTCGATCTCGCGATAATTTATCAATTTGCCGCAAGTGTCCGCGCGGACGAAACAGGTGAGCCTCGAAGCACCGTAAACTTCCCCTTGCCGAAACGCAAACAACGCACGCTCCTCTCTTTCTCTCTCTCTCTCTCTCTCTCTCTCTCTCTCTCTCGCCGCGCCGATAATCTCATAATTTCACGTTCGTCCGTTTCGGGGATCCCGCGAGCGCGCGATGAGCGGCAAATTCACAGAATGACAGCCGGTAAACGTTCACGTCGTCGTTAATGGACGTAATGTGCGCGGGATAATAACGCGAAGCGGCGGCGCGGAATAAACGTTAATTGTGGGCGGTTACGGTAAACATTTGTTATCGCGCGCTCGCGCGCGCGGAGAGGGAGCCGCCGCTCCCGATTAATATTTCGTCATTAATGAGCCGTTACGCAGAGCGCTGCGCATATTTCAGCACGCGGCGCGCTTCCGGGCCGATGAGTCGAAATACCGGAGAGGAACGCTCGCGATTCCCGGCCGATCGCCGAGACTCGACTCGGCGGTTAACAAAACACAGCGCGGGCTCTCCTCACGCTCGCGTTGCGGCGCGAGTCCGCGGCTGAAGAATTCACCCTCGGCGGCGCGGCGCGGCGAGCAGCCGGGAGAGAAACTCGCGCGCGCGGCAGCTCGGAAAATGGAAGAGCGAGAGGCGAGCGCGTTAAGGGCCGCGTAAGCGGCCCTTCTTACGACTTCTATATTTATATAGGGCTAATTTGCATGTTAGACAGCGAAGATTGCGGCGCGTGCGATTTGCATCACTTCGTCGCGACGGACAAGCGAACAGCCGTTAACCGAAGGCTACCTTCCCTACCTCCCTCCCTCCCTCTCTCCCTCCCTCCTACCCTTCGCGCTCTCGCCGCGCTCGCGGGAGAGATTTTCCTTTCTTTCTTTCTTGTTCTCTGGATTTTCAACGGCACGCGATGAGAGCTCGCGATTACGCACGAGTATCGAGCGCGCAATAGGCCTTCCGTCGGAATTAACGCACGCGACGCGTACGAAGTACGCCGAGTTGTCGAGGGCCCGACATCGATCGACGCCCGACGCCGTTGGGAACAACGTCTCGGCGCGATTGCCTGTGAGATACGCGCGATATTTTATCGACGACACACGACGGTATGTATGTATGTATGCGTGTGTGTGTGTATGTGTGTGTGTGTGTGTGTGTGTGTGTGTGGAGGGTGCGTGTGTATTTCGGGAGACGATATCCATTATCGCGGTACCTCGGGCGGAAGGCTGGAGTTATTATTGGCGCATCTCTCTCGCGGAATGTAAAAATAAAAAGGCCGACGAAAATAGAAAGACGACGCGGGGCGAGACGAGCGGGGGCGAGGGGAGGGGGGGGGGTTGCGGTAATAAAGGCTACATGTCGAGGGAAAGCGAAAGTAGCGAGTGCTCGCCGACGAGAGTCTCCCCGGCAGCCCTCCCCCCCTCCCCCCCCGGACTCTCGAGATACATAAAACGCTACACGACACGATTTGCATAAATACGTCGCCGCCGGTCGCGCTGAAATCCCGCGGTGGTTTCCTCACAAAAGAGGGACCGGGCCGGGGGCCGGGGGGAACTCGCGAGGGGCGACCATTGTGAGAGGTGGGAGAATAATAACAAAGAAGAAGCATTCTCCCTGACGAGGGGATTTTCTTCCGGCTGGCGGCGCCTCTACAGCTTGCGGTACATAAGCGCACGTTAATTAATGCGGACCAATTAAAAAAAGCGCGCGTGTGCAGCGCGCCCGTGAGTCCGCGAGAGCTTGCATAATAGCATCTCGACCGCGAGAGGCATAGAGAGAGAGAGAGAGAGAGAGAGAGAGAGAGAGAGAGAGAGAGAGAGAGAGAGAGAGAGAGAGAGAGAGAGAGAGAGAGAGAGAGAGAGGGGTGGAGGGGGTGAGCTCGTTCCCAAGTTTTCGGATCTCGTCGCGAGAGATGCGATAGCCCGCGGGAATTATATTTTCCGTCGGTAGTCGATTACACGTTCGGTTACGCTGCGACGATTCGAGTCGCGGAATCGCGGAAATTGAGTTACGCTGCGATCGATGCTGCTCTCGCGATATCACCGATTTCGAGAGCGGCCTTTATTTCAGCGTTATTTCTCCGCGGTGTGTGAGTGTAGGTATGTGTGTGTGTGTGTGTGTGCTGATCGAAGGAAATGTAGCTTTTCAACGCGCATTATTGGGGCGAAAACAGAAGTTCCCTCGAAGCTGGGACGAGTCCTCTCTCTTTCCGCTTCGAGTAATCACGAAATTACCGATAATCAAGGCAGTTCGAACGTACGGATAAAAAAACAAAAATAGTTACGCCGGTCGTGAAATTTCCGTCCCGTCAGATGGAATAATTCGTCCCGACGATCGGCGATCGCCCTGCGGGAGAACCGACGAGCCGCTCGAGTTTTGTTCATTCGCGATGAGAGGATGTTGGGATGTTGGGAATGACTTCGGACAGATGAAGAGGACGAGATGGGGAGGTTCCGCCGACGAGAAATGCACACGTCGGAGGGTGAAGACAGAGAGAGAGAGAGAGAGAGAGAGAGAGAGAGAGAGAGAGAGAGAGAGAGAGAGAGAGAGAGAGAGAGAGAGAGAGAGAGAGATGCGTGCGTGCGTCGATCGATCCGACGGATCTTCCTCTTCGCGAGGAGCTCTAATTTTCGTTCCGCAGATGGCGGGCGTGAAATACGATAGTGTGTATCAAAAGTATCGCCGGCGCTCGTGCGAAAATCTACACAGGTATGGACGCGTGGGGTGTGTACAAGAAAGGAATGCTCATTAAAAAATACTTCTAACGCGCGTGTGTCCTTTCGCACGAGGGTGTGGTCGCGTTCGCGCGTCTTCCTCTTCCTCCTCTTCCTCCTCCTTCTAGCTTGTTTACTTTTCCTTCGTCTCGGCAGTCACGAGAGATCAATCCGCGAGAACGACACGTGCATCCCTGACGAGGATCGCGGTCTCACGTGAGACCGAGCACTACGGCACGCTGATGACATTCGTTCGAAGGACCTCGCTGTGGCACTACCTAACTGATGACTTAACTCTTAAAGATAACAGCCCGGCCCGGGGACGTCATTACGTTAACGACCGCGCTGATGTGTCGAAAATGCGACTCCGCGTCGCCGCCGGATACGCCGCGCGCGAGATCGATCCGTCATAACGACACCGCGAGTTCGGGGAGAGATTACGACTTACCGAACGACGTACAAACAAACAACGAGAACGGGGCTTGCTAATGCTCGGATTTCTTGTACACTACGGGCAGTTGAGCGAAATTACATCGATGGCTCTCGCGTTACGAAGGATACGCCACGGGCGCAGGAGCACGGTGACGCGCGATCCTCTCGCGTTAAACGAGATCCCGATTCGTTTTCTATCGCCGAGGAGAAGCTGAGAGCAGCGTCAGAACATCTCGAAGACGTGTGAAGTATATCAACGTACCGAATAGAAAATATATACAACAAACATGAAGTAAGACATACGCCAAAATATTAATATTTAAAGCTTCGTTCTCTCTTCAAAGAAACGCATCAGCTTCTCCCCTCTGAAACGTGCACTTCCAACCACTCGGAAATGCGAGTGTTTGTCGGCTTCTTCGTGACGTTCCGACCTCACCGGACGACGTCCTAGCGCTACCACTGGTCAATCCTGTACAAGCGCCGCGATCAATGACTGGCTGAGAAGGAGAACGCACGGCGAGAACAGGATCGCCGCGCATCACCGCTCCGTAACCCGCACTCGTCCGATGCCTTGGAAGGAAAATCCGAGCGCTGATTATTACGTACTAATCCTTGCGATCGTCCACGAGGGAGAGCCTCCGCCAGTCCCCGACAGGCGCGCGCTCTCTCGCTTTTCCGCACGTTTGCAAAATCGATTGTATGGCACGAAGGGCGACCCTCAGCTCTCTGCGATCCCCGACACACTTTCGATCGAGTCTTTTCATCATGCGCATTTTTGCCAAATGTATGTGCGCTCACACGCACACACGCACACACATACATACACACACATACACAAACACACACACGCGCGCGCGCGCGCGCGCAATCTCTCTTTTTCACTCTCACAATCTCCCGCTTATTTATCCGTATATTAAATTACACGTTCCTATTTACAGCAGTGATATACATACATGTCAATTTCTATAAAAATCGTCTCGCGACTGTGGCAGCGTAGCTTCGATATACAAAACCGCTGTAAGTTCGTTGAGAGATTTTTCCTCCGGCCCGTGCCGGCCGACGTCGCGGTCGGTCGGTCGGTCGGTCGGTGCGCGGGCGGCGATCAGTGTCGAAGGAACGTCGGTTGATACAATTCTAATACGGTCGCGTTACGCAACAACAAGCTTCGAGAAGATTGGTCAGCTGAATTTCCGGCCGGGAACTGGCGGAAAAGGAGAATCCCGTGCGAGATATATTACTCGCGAGAGTAGATCGACTGCTCCCTGCGCATCACTCATGTCCTCGGGAGGTGAACTCTTGACCCGGTGAGGCCTCTCCCCCGACGGCTGACGGATGGTACAACTTGGAAACACAGGAATCTGCCGTTGAGATAAAGTGCCCTACAAGTCTGTCGGCAGGGACGCGTTACCGGCGAAACGCGATCGATTCTCACCCCACCGGAGGGCAGCCGCTTCGCTCGGTGAACTCTCTCTCTCTCTCTCTCTCTCTCTCTCTCTCTCTCTCTCTCTCTCTCTCTCTCTCTCTCTCTCTCTCTCTCTCTCTCTCTCTCTCTCTCTCTCTCTCCCTCCCTCTCTCTCTCTCTCCCTCTCTCTCTCTCTCTCTCTCTCGCCGAGGATATATACAGTCGAGCGTACTGCGAGGTATACAAGCTGAGTGAATTCGCGCTCAGCCGACAGGCATTATACGCGGGGTCGATAACACAGGTTCCTCGGGATATGTGCTTAATCTGTGAGCCAACAGAACCCTAATCCGCCGATTTTACAGCCTCGCCGAGTGAAAGGAAGCGATACACGCTGCTGCTTCTTCCTCTCTCCCCCCTCTCTCGCTCCTAGATGCTCGATCGACTCCGGCTTCATCCGCATCTGGAAGACGCCTCTCTGCGAGGCACCACCGATCGCGGAAGGAGCCTGTCGCGCGCCGGATCGCATAATGCGGCTAGTCCCTTCCATTAAATCGCTACGGAACGCGCTCGAACGCACGTAGTTTCGCACAAACGCTCGTTCTTAAAGCTACTTTCAGTCCTGCTCAAACAAAGCACTCGGCTCGCTCGAGCTTCGTCATGCACGTTCACAGCTCGATCCTCCTCGGGTGACGCGCGGCGCGATCGCGACGAGGCGACGCCGCCATCGTTCGTATCATGACCCTGTATGCATGTGTGTGTGTGTGTGTGTGTGTGTGTGTGTTGTGTGTGAGAGAGTCGTTCATTTGTCCCTCTTCTTCGTCCTCCTCGAGGCACCTCCTGCTGACAACGGGGGATCCCCGCGGATCTCCGCGTAACGGACAACACACTTCCGGGGATGCACGAGCCCGCGCTCGTGAGTGCGCTCGGTTCTTTCGACGAACGTCAGCAGATGAGGCAGCACAGCGCGCGCTGGGTCCGCGTCGGTCCGACAAGTTTGTGAGATTGTGCACAATTTGGCGCCGGGTGCGACAACTCCGCTCGGCCGATTCAACGTAATTTACAGCGGCTTGGTGCTCGGCGAGTACGCGCCTCCGTCTGCCGCTCCCCCCCTCCCCTCCTCACCCTTCCCCGAACTCCTATGACGTACGCGCGTCCTGTCCCGCCGATTAGAAGCAATACTTCCGCGTGCTCACTTCCGGCACTGGGCTCAAGGACGGGGGTCGTCCCTCGCGCGGGACAACCCCTTCCTCCTGTCAGCCGTAGTAGTAGCTTTTGTTGTTGAGGCTTCGAGGATTCTCCGTGCGGAGGATCGTGTGAAGATTGTCCGTGGCGACCATGTGGTTGCCGAGGTCGCGCACCCCCGTGTTGGCCGAGTGGTGCACCGGGGTGGCGTGGATCGTGGTCGGGGACAGAGGTATCCTCGTGTCGACGTAGTAGCGCTCGCCGTGGAGCCTCTCCGCCAGTTGGGTCTCGGGCAATCTGCTGTGAAACAAGGAGATTTGTAATCGGTAAGCAGCCTCGACAGAGGCGATTCCGCGAGGACTTCCAGGAGGAATCGCTGCAACCCGTGACGACTCGTTAGTCCTCCTGTCACTTTCATTATCGAGACAGGTTCAATATGCACGTGAGATTTTTAGGTTGTAGTGATATCAAGAGGAAAGCTGGACATTCCTTGTCGAGCGCAGCGGATATTTGTACATACAGGGTGTATATAAAAAGAACCGGGACGGCGAAATATCTCGGAAACTAGGCACTTTCGAAAGAGATGTTTCAGACAAAAGTTGTATGGCTTCAAGGGGGACATAAAACAACTATATCATTTTGTTTACAGATGGCGCCACTTCCGAGATGTTTACTGATCATTGCTTTTCTTAAAGGGAAATCCCCAATTTTTATTATGTCATCTTCTTCTGTCGATAAATTTGGACAACTTTTGTCTGAAACATTTTTTTATTCGTCTAATATTTCTTTTAGATATTTAAGGTAACTTGATAATCTTTTCAATTTTTTTTAGCTTACGATATCTCGGTAATTATCCGTCGGAAGAAAAAGTGGTACGAGACTTTTTTATTCTATTTGGTCTCAAGAATATATTGTTGCAATAGTATCTTAACTTTTGTTGACTTATTGACCTCTGGAAATTTATCAAGTTAACAAAAGTTAGGGCATTACTGTAACAGTATATATTTTTGAGCCCAAATAGAGGAAAAAAGTCTAGTTCCATTTTCTCTTCCGACAAACAGTTACCGAAACATCGGAAGCTGAATCTTGAAAAAATTCTCTCAGATCTTTACAGATCTCTACACTAGGAAAAATGTGTTGTTGCGTGAACCAAAATTTTGTTGTAACAACAAAATAATTTGGTTAAAATATGCCCAACTGTTGCAAACTGTATGCAAAACTGTTTAGTTCCTGTAAACAAATATCTTGTTTGATTATGGTTTCTTCGTATAATTGGTTCTTCGTAATACTTTTGTTATAGCAACCAAAAAGCTTTAACTATATGAATTTTGTTAAAAATATTATAATTTTTTCTTAATATATAAAATCTAAATTTCAGTGCACAGAAAGTAGAAAATACTATCCATTGGACATTATTTTAGTTTATGTAAAATAATATTTCGTTATTATGCAATTTTTATGGATAAAATAACTAAGATGTTTAATTTTTATATATGAAGTCTAAGTACAAAATCATTTGGTCCAGAGAACAAAGCAGAAAAATATATTTAGTTGAGACAACTAAATATTTTGTTATATAAAACAAGATATTTGGTTGCTATTAAAAAAATGCCTCAACTAAACAGTTTTGTTAGAGATACTGAATTTTTTTTCCTAGTGTACAGGCGCGACGGAGAGACCACCACTCCGAAGCGGGATTACGAGGGTAGTTCCAGAAGTATCTGACCTGACCTATAGATAGCGGTTGTTGTTTGAGAAGAATGACTATGATAGCAAGTACCAACCTTATAAAGCTTAAGTTTGAAGTTTGACGACGCTACGTTGTTTAGTATTTCTTTGGCAGCCAACAATAGTGAGCGCTCTCAGTGAATTTGTAAACGTGGAAAAAATTGGTCATCGTTATGTGATACAATACTTTCATTTGAAAGGCCTCAGTCCAACCAATATCAAAGCGGAGCTAGATTCTACTCTGGGGGAGTCTGCTCCTTTGTTTAGAACAGTAAAATATTGGGTGGCAGAGTTTAAACGAGGCCGTACGAGCTGCTAAGATGAACATCGCAGTGGTCGACCAAATGAAGTGACCACGCCAGAAATGGTGAAGAAAATCCACAAAATGGTATTGGATGACCGTCGACTGAAAATGCGCGAGTTAGCAGACATGGTAGGCATTTCAAAAAGTGCTGTGTACAGCACTTTTTCTTTCAAATTTTTATATGCGATGTATCGCATATTGACTGAAAATTTGAAAGATGGGTGCCACGATTGGAACAAAAACAGCGTCGTGAGGATGCTTCAATCTTCAGTGTTTGGCGAAGTTTCGCAGCAATAAAGCCGATTCATAACCATGGATGAAACATAGGTCCATCACTTCACACCTGAGACGAAGGAACAGTCAAAACAATGGACCAAGGTGGCTTGATCGCTATTTTGAGGAGCTCGACGATTCCCACTATAAACAGGGTATCGAAGCTATTGAACATTGCTGGGAAATGTGTATTGAGCTAAAAGGAGACTATGAAGAGGAATAAAGATATTTTTTCCCAAATCTTTTGTGTTTTCTTTGTCAGGTCAGGTACTTCTGGGGCTACCCTCCCATTAACCATTCCAACGGCGATTGATTCCTCTCCTTTCCGCTCGCGAGGAGCAGCTCGCGAGAAGATAGCCTTCGCGCGAGATAGTTACCTTGCGTCCTGCATCGGCACCGGTACTGCTGTCGTGAGATCGATGTCGGCATCGATCTCGGAGATATCGTCGGTGAAGCCGTTCGGCAGGGCCTCGTTGTTCGCGTGGAACTTGGCGTCCCTCTTGGCGCGGCGACGGCTGACTAACAGGCGGCCGATCACCAACGCCAGGAAGACCAGGATACCGCCGGTGACCGACAGGATGATGTAGAGGTAGAATTTCTCTTGGTTCTCTGCACAAAATCACGGTCAAACGTGCGTTTTCAAATCGTCCTGCCTCCCGGCGGGCTCTCTCGACGAGAGGATACACACAATTATCGATTCCCTGACTATTCTCTCTCTCCCTCCCTCCCTCTCTCTCTCTCTCTCTCTCTCTCTCTCTCTCTCCCCCTGCTTCTAGTCGCGATAGTCTGCTCTTTGTCCAACGGTAAGTGTACATTGCCTATGCATACACACACATGTAGATAAGCGCAAACTAATACTCGTGCGAGGCACGGAGCCGGAAATCAGAAGAATAAATCAACCAACATGCCAGGCTAATTATGTATCTAGCGGAGGAACAATGCAACACCAAACATTCAATGATGAAATTAGCTAATCCGGCAATCTTTTGTTGTCCCGCGCGTATCGTTCCCATGGCAATCCCGAGCTGCAACACGAGTCCATCAATTTCCATTCGTCCGATTTTCTCGATATCCTGCAAGCACTGCGCGCGGATTACTGTGTACCTTTTACGCCACCGGCGATCCTCAAAGCACGACGATCACGTTTCTTTTTTTTTTTCTTTTCCATCGTCGAGAAGCGAATCATACGAAATTAATCGACACACTAAGCTCTCTCTCTCTCTCTCTCTCTCTCTCTCTCGCCGTCTCTTCCTCGACGTGCGTATACCGCAGGGCGGTCAGGCAGGCACGAGGAGACGCAACGCCCCTCTTTCGGCAACCCTCTTCCGCGGGACGAACTACCTGTCGTATCCAAGCCTGGCAAGAGGCGTCGGGGGATCGATAGCGGCGACGCGGCGCGTCGCAGTGGTCGGTTTACCGGCTGAAAGCAAGACCGGACCGGAGTCCGCTGGTAATACTTACTCGTTATGAAGGAATAGGCATTGATCCACTCATTCAGGTATCCCACCACTAAGCGACCCTCCTGCTGCTCCTCCTCCTTGGGAAACGCATAGACGACGGTGGTGCAATTTCCCGATGCGGCGGAGCCCGTAGATGCAGCGTTACCAACCCCGTTGTCGCTCGCCATTGCGATCCCCTGGATAACCGTGGGCGGTAAAGGCGGTAAGGCTAAATCTTTCGCTCCGATACCGAGCGACTTTAACATGTTCAACCGCGCGTCCACTGTGCACGCGAGAAAAACGACTTCAGAGGCACGCAAGGGGGATGATGGGGGCGGGGTTGGGGGCGTTCGCAATCGCGAAAGACTCGCGTCCGAGCGGGCGTTGAAAGAGGCGTGCGGAATGTCGGCGAGTTCAATCGTCGCGGTGCCGCGCGCGAGAATTTCGCGGATTTTTTCTGCGCGCGCGGCATCGACTGACGGAAAAGGTCCAACGGCGGGATCGCGACAATTCCGACGCCCGTTCGTCGAGAGCGAAAGCGCCGCGCGCTGCGAAAGACGGCTGCGCATAATCTGTGCGAAGTTATGCCGCATTTCTGGCAGCGCCGACCGGTGTCGAAAGGTCTCGCGAGTGGAGAATATTGGCTTGTCCAGAAGAAGTCATTGCGTTTTTTCCCGTGATTTGCCAGATCGTTTATTTTACACAAAGAATGAACGTTAGTCGACGATATATTGCCCTTTTTGTTCGGCGACTTTCTGTAGCCATCTTTCGGTAAGCTTCATGATCTCATTCTCGGAAAACTTCCTATCTGTATTAGCGGAGAACTGAACCAAGTGCCTTTCGATGGAGTCATCTGAAGCGAACGTTTTTTCCACTCAAGGAGTTTTGCAAGGACCGAAAGAAATGGTAGTCTGATGCGGTGGATGAGGCAACACATCCCAATCAAGCTCCGACAATTTGTCGCGAGTTATCAAACTTGTGTGTGATCGAGTGTTGTCACGATGGAAGACTACTCCTATGCGATTTATCAATTCTGGCCGCTTTTCTGCCATTGCTTCGTACAATTTGTCGAGCTGTTGACAGTACACGTCCGAATTGATCGTAATATTTCTTGGTAAGAGCTCGGAAAACACCACACTTTTCCAATCCCGCCAGATTGAGTGCATCACCTTTCTCTAATGGATGTCTGCTTCGGGCCGGCTTATCGCGTTTGCTCCACGATCGCTTTCGCTTCACATTGTTGCAGACAATCCATTTTTCATCGCCAGTAATCATGCGTTTCAGAAATGGATCGGATTCTTCACGTGTCAGAAGTTGATCGCAGATGTCTTATGAGGTGAACTTCCTTCAGTTCATGCGGGACCCAAACATCGAGCTTACTGACGTAATCAAGTTGTTGCAAATGAAGGTAAACGCTTCCAATAGATATTCTTAGTGCTTCAGCGAGCTCACGAACGGTAGAACGTCGATTAGCTTCAACTAATGCCTTTGTTTTATCATCATCAACCTCCGATGGCCGACCTGGTGCATCTTTCACGCTGTAGTCACCAAAACGGAAACGAGCAAACCGATGTTGACGCTGGCGTTCTTTTAGGGCTTTGTCAAACTTTACGCAACTTTTCGCAAGTCTACATAGCGTTCTTTCCCTTTCGGAATTAATAAAGTGAAACTTGGCGAAAAACTTGCTCGTGTGTCGACTCTTCATTTCCAGAACGTTACAGGAAGAATAATTGTTGATCGATTCGCGCACTTTTTTCCTTCATGGGAGTTACAAGCGTCAGCTGTCAAACGCGCATGGCTTCATGAATTTATAGATGCGTTCAATATATTAAATATACAACTAAATCTATCGGAAATAAACGCAATGACTTTTTGAACAACCCAATAGAACATTGCGTGTGCGACGAACGTCTCGAGCGCGAGAATTTTACACGCGACACCTCTCGTTTCTTTTGAACACTTAATTAGGCGATTGTACATCACACACACTAGGAAAAAAAGTTTAGTATCTCTAACAAAACTGTTTAGTTGAAGCATTTTTTAATAGCAACCAAATATCTTGTTTTATATATATAAAATATTTAGTTGTCTCAACTAAATATATTTTTCTGCTTTGTTCTCTGGACCAAATGTTCTTAGACTTCATGTATAAAAATTAAGCATTTTAGTTATTTTATCCATAAAAATTACATAATAACGATATGTTATTTTACATAAACTAAAATAATGCCCAATGGATACCATTTTCTACTTTCTGTGCACTAAAGTTTAGATTTTATATATTAAGAAAAAATTATAGTATTTTTAACAAAATTCATATAGTTGAAGCTTTTTGGTTGCTATAAGAAAAATATTATGTTATACGAAGAAACCGTAATCAAACATGATATTTATTTACAGGAACTAAACAGTTTTGTTGGGCATATTTTAACCAAATTATTTTGTTGTTACAACAAAATTTTGATTCACGCAACAATACATTTTCCTAGTCCACGTATGCGAAGAGGTCTGCGGGAGGTCGGTGAGGTCTGTCTGAGGAGGGAAATATCGGCGTCGGGAAACGACGATGATTAGTCACTGTGCGTTATTTACAATGTAAATTGGCGTCCAACCAACCACCAAAATGCGACGTTATTTTTCCGCAGTATTTATTTATGCGGTTACACAAATGGCAGGTTAGCGGGGGGGGCCTCATGATGACAGAGAGCATATGGCCGCGCTGAGAGTGATACACGAGATGTAGATAAAACACGACGAAATCAAGCAAACATCGCGCGCGCGCACGCGCGATTCGCGAGCGGAATTTCGCACGCCTGAGCAATTAACGCGGATTTGTCGCGCGAGGATTATCTGTTTATGGCATCTTCGGCAACACGAGTTATCCTTATCGCGAGGCATTTCGCGGCTGTACAGCGTATTACAAAATGGGGGAGGTCTCCTGAATCCCGCCTCGATCGAAACACATTTATTAACCAATCAACGGCGTCGCCGGGTATATTTTACCGCGCGGTGCCCTCGATGCGTAGTCTGCGCATCGATAATTAACATTAAAACCGCCCAAGCGGCCAAAACGACCGCTCGGTAATTTCTCATAAAAACTACTCAGACTCGTAACCGTGCATTTTACATCTCTAATTGAATTTTTAATTAAACAGAAATAAATGAACATTTCTTTCTATCGCATTGCATATTTTTTCCCCCGATTCCGACTCGTCACTTCGTCTCCGCTCCGGTTCAAATGGATTGTTGACTGTCGGCGGTTCTGGCGTTGAGCAAAAGCAGCATTTCTTTCGAGCTTTAATGAGTATACGTTGCGCGATCAATAATCGCGGAAACTGCTTGACACGTTTCTACAGCGTTCTCGGCGTCTCGTCGATTTTCGTCGGGATTGCGATTCGGGGAACCAAATCGGTCACTCGATCGTCGTTAACACATTCGTGATTCTCCCGCGCTAAACGAACCGAATCGGAGAAAAAGAGACAGAGAGAAAGAGAGAGAGAGAGAGAGAGAGAGGGGGGGAGGGGAGGGGAGGGGGAGAGGGAGAGAAAGAGAGGCGCGCAAAGAGAAAAAATCTCCGAGAACTCGCGACGAGTTTTTCGTCCGCCCCGTATCTCTCTACGGATCGTGGAACTTAAATGGCACATTGTAGCCGTGGAGCGCTCCACGGCCTTCCGCATGCTGACTTACTTTTCGCGCGGGTTATTTTTCAGGAAAGAACCGCACGGTCCCTCCTCTCTGAATGTCAATGGGAAATGGAAATGCGGCGGCGGAATAAAATATACAGACAAGTAGCCTCCGCGTCTCTTTGTTGTCGGGTATTGACGGAATATCCCGGACAAGAATCGTGCGTAGACGAGCTATGTGAATACTCGATCTACTTACAATGCCCTGATAACTTTGAGATGTACAGAATTTTTGGAAAGAAACACGCACACCTATTCTTCCTCTTTCCCTCTCTCTCTCTCTCTCTCTCTCTCTCTCTCTCTCTCTCCCTTTCCCGAGCACTCTAAAATTTACGGTAATTTTAAATACAGCGACAGACGCATGACGACGCCGCGAATGCCGAACGCCGACGTAGGCCGGAGAATCTCTCTCGCTGGATACGTTCGAGAGAGGACGTTGGAGGGGGATTTTTAATTAATGAAAAAAGCGGGATTTTTCCTCTCCTCAATTCAACTCACCGCGCTGCGCCGCGTTGCGTTCCCCGCCGAGCCATGCGCGATACACACACTTTGGCTAAAGAACGACTGATCCGCCGCGGGTTTCAAGGCGATGAATTGCACGAACACGCGGCGCGGGTCTCGCGAGGCGCGGTTTCGCTGACGTGATGAAACCGAAAGAAAGAATCAGCGTGTTTGCGGGCCGCGCCGAGAGGCACGCGCCGAGACACTTGTTCGACACTTGGTCGTTTGTACGCGTCAGGTGTGACTAATTTCGCGATACGGTACGGACGACTGCGCCGCTCGCAGATCGGAGATCCGCGAGGCGGAGAACGAGAGGCGGGATTCTCGCTTCGCTCTCCGTTATTAGAATATTACACACAGGGCGCATTAATGTGTCGCATTAATGTAGCGTATATAAAATAGCGCGCGGAATTAGCGCGCCCATCGGGAAGTTTCCGTTTCTCCGCGGCCGCGGCGCGCTAATGTCTTAGCTTCAAGTTATTTACATCATAATTCAAGCAATATGGTTCTAATTCTTCCGGCCGCGTTATTCCAGCCAAGCTTGCTATCTCTCCCGAGCGAGATAACGTTCGCGCAGTTCCTAGTTTTCTAATTAGTGACTTGGGAATGCTTACAATTAGCCGACGACGTCGTGGAATCTCGCAGCTATCCCGTCGCGCGAGTTCTCGCTGTTTACAGATAAATCGCGCTCGCTCGCTCGCTCGCTCGCTCGCGGAATTTTCGCGGCAGGTTTCATTAGAATCGGATCTTTTCCGTAACGTCAGCACGCGCAGGGCGAATTCGCCGTGAGAACGGAACGGTCAAAGTAAGAGGAGAGGAAAGGCTCGAGAGAAATCTATCGATTTTTATCCGAGTAAAAAATTGTTAGGGCCATCCTCATGAAGCGTAAGGCCCCGATAAGGCTGAAAATAGGATTCCCTAAAAAGGGATGCTCCATTATTACCACATCATGCCTCGAGATCGATCTTTCAGGGATACCTTAGATTTTACGAGATAAGAAAACTGATAAGGGCCTTAGAAAGATTTATTAGGAGAGTCTTAGATTTGATAAATAAGGCTTTGATAAGGAAAGCTGATAAGGGCCTTATAAGAATTTTTT